ATGCTGTGACCATTTAATACAGTTCCTCATATTGTGGTGACTCCCAGCCATAAAATTATTGTTGTTGCTACTTCATAACTGTAATTTTGCTACTGTTATGAACTGTAGTATAAATATCTGGTATACAGGATATCCAATATGTGATCCACCAAAGGAGTCACAATCCAGAGGTTGAGAAACATTGCTCTACTGTCTACCCAGTGATAGACCTGAGACTCATAGAGTCTTTACCAGTCACCCAACCTGTCACTACTAGGTCCAGTGGGATCTTCCAACTAAAGACCTTCCTCTCCTGTCCCCCTAGATTGCAAGGATGTGTAGTATGGCATCTTCTTTGGCCCTCTAACCACTTTTTTTAAAAAATAAAAATAACCCTTTTGATGTGTTCTTGGATTTAGTTTGCAAGAATTTTATTGAGAATTTTTGCATTGGTGTTCACAAGGGATCTTGCTCTGGAATTTTCTTTTTTTGTTGGTTCTTTGTGTAGTTTCAGTGTTAAGGTAATAGAGGCTTAGTAAAAAGAATTGGAAATGCCCCTTCATTTCTATTTTCCATAATAACTTGAGGAGTATTGATATTAGTTCTTCTTTGAAGGAAGCAATGAAATGAAGAGTTGGTTATTTGAGAAAGTGGACAAGACTGACAAACCCTTGGCCAAATCAACCAAAAGACAGAGAGAAGATTTAAATTAATAAAATTAGAGATGAAAGGGGCAGCATCACAAAGGACACCATTCACAAATTTAAGAAATTCAGAGAATCATAAGGACATATTTTTAAAATCTGTATACCACCAAACTGGAAAACCTAAAAGAAATGGATGGATTTCTTGATGCAGACAACCTACCAGGGTTAAATCTAGGTGAAATAATCAATTAAAATTTTAATGAAATAAAAGCAGTAATTAAAAAGCTTCCAACCTACAAAGAGCCAGAAGCATTCAGTGCAGAAATCTACTTCCAACCACTTCCTTTAAGTCTCTCCTCCTTTCTTCACAAACTGAACTCAAAGTTCAAAGCTCTAACTAGCTCGAAAAGCCTCTCCCAGCCATTGCTCCTGCCCTCTGTCTGGACCACTGACCTCTGCCTTCTGCAATGAATCAAGACACTCCTTTTCAGAACTTTATCCCCACCCTCCTCTCCCAGCCTCCTGTCTCTGTGTCTCAGCAGCAGCTCTTCCTCCCTAGGGAACTTTCCTGACCCTGTCCTCTGAGTGGTCTTCCCACTTTTGAGGGAACGTGGTTATTCACTATTGTTGAGGAATCAAGTTCCATGAGAGTGTGATTCCTCTTCCCAGACACTGGCCCTAAGCACCCTATCAAAACTACTGAGGGGGCAGAGAAACATCTTTTCAAGCAGATGTGACTACTTCCCTGTTTTGGAAGAGGTACTTGCCACCCATCTTGAGTCTTTGAAGACTGAGGACCTGCAATGTGGCTTGATGCAAGACTTACCTATAGAGAACTGGGTTTTCTGTGACCCAGTCGTTGGGGAGGCTATATACCCACTTCCTCTGCCGAGGGGTCATTGTTTCCCCTTCAGGGAATGACACCTTCTTCATCATGGGAGTCTTGACATTCTTTGGAGTTCCAGAATGCTCTGCAGCCCGCTTCCTGGTGGCTGCCAAAGACTGAACCAGCTGCACCTGAAGGTATGAAAGATGGGAGATAGGGTATTGTGAGAGTCTCATATGCCGAAGCCATTCATGACGAATGTGCTTGTTTTAGAAGGACATGTACACACATGTAAAGAAGGCACTTCACACACACACACACACACACACACACACACACACACACACACCACAGAAGATCTCCTTCCCTTTTACAGGTACAGGCTATTTCAAGGAAGGTGTATGTAAACCACTTTGAATGGAGATCCAGATTTAGTCTATACAACCATTTTTATAATCATAGAAACTGAAAACAATAGAAGAAACAAATAAAACAGAACTATCCAGAGTCATCTGACGCCAGGGATCTGCTCGCTAGATCCAAACTTGGCGGCGGGATCCAACACACTGGACTCTCCCGAGGTCCCGGTAGCAGTTCCGACTCCATCCACAACAAGAGGACAGACATTAGAGTATTGGATCTGTTTGCATCTACCAGAAGGGAATCTTGGTCCCATACCCACCAGGAGAGTAAGAGCCTCCTGCTACACTCACCAGAAGAAAGGATGAGAAGAGGTCAATGTAAAAGCACATTCAATAACAAAAACCCAATATGACACCACCAGAGACTAGGAACCATACACCAGTAAGACCTGAACCTCAAAAGGCAAATGAACCAGAAGAGAATGACCTTAAAAACATCTTCAGGAAAATGATAGAGGACCTCAAAGAGGACATGAGAGAATCCTTTATAGAAATGGAAGAAAAAACAAAACAAACAAAAAAAGTTATCAACAAATCTCTCAAGAAAACAGTTCAAGACCTAAAAACTGAAATAGAGACAATAAAGAAAGCACAATCTGAGGGAATGCTGGAAATGGAAAAGCTGGGTAAACAATCAGGAACTACAGATGTAAGCATAGCCAACAGGATACAAGAGATGGAAGAGAGAATCTCAGGAGTTGAAGACACACTAGTGGAAATAGATTCATCAACCAAAGAAAATCTTAACTATAACAAAGCCCCAACACAAAATATCCAGGAAATATGGGACACTGTGAAAAGACCAAACCTAAGAATAATAGGTATAGAAGAAGGTGAAAAAATCCAACTCAAAGGCACAGAAAATATATTCAACAAAACCATAGAAGAAAATTTTCCCAACCTGAAGAAAGACATGCCAATGAAAATACAAGAAGCCTACAGAACACCAAATAGACTGAACTGAAAAAAAAGGTCTCTACA